TTACGGGCATCAATATGCGACGATAATGCCGCCTTTGATAGTAGGAGATATATCGCAAGATAAACATTGGATACCGTTCAAGATTAAAATGGGCAAAGGTCGTCCTGCCAAAAGGAGAACATCAAAGATACCTGTAAAGAAACAGCGGTTTTGTCTGATGTGCAAGGAGCTTGGGCTTATGGCCAAAACTTGTAGCAGAAAGACAACGGCGGCTGTACTGGCGATGTTGGGTAGAGTTCCAGAATAAGTGACTTAGTAACACAAGTAATACCTCTATATAATCTGTACTTAGTAAACCTGTACATACTACATAGTAAAACATCGATAAAATAAAATGGTCTATCATTTCATCAATACAACCTCGTTTGATTGAAGTGCTGTTTCTGGGCTTTATGCTTACGTAACCCTTGACCTCTTCATTCAATTACTTGCGGCCTATATACCATAGTATATTCCAGTCAATTTAAACATTTTCAAAAAAATCTGACCTTGAAACGTAATACCAGGAAAGCGTGGGGGGTACATACCTCTCTAGCCTCTCTAGAGCCGCTCTAGGCTATTTACGTATTTAGAACACATATTGTGTAATCATTTTTCAGTGATTTTTGTCTCTATTTAAAAAAAACAAAAACAAAAAACAATATGTACAACAATCCATAGCCTTCTAAATAGTAATTTGACAGGCTATGAACAATCGATTGTTGGTAATAAATTCGGTTGTAAATATCATGTACGTTATTCAAAATATTAATAGGAAGAAATCCCTCTCGCGGTACTGTTAACTGTAGTTCTGAGGCTTCTGCAATAACGAGCCAATAAGGAATGGTCAGATTACGGGACTAAATTTAAAATTTATTTTAACTCTGGAACTTTGGAAGTCAAAACTCGAAAGTCGAAACCCAAGTCGTCTTCCCGGCTCCGCTCTCGTCAATCCGTCCTTGATCAAAATAGACTCTCTGACAGTCTGACTCCCAAGATAGCAAAATCAACATACATACTGACGTCAGTTGGTATAAAAAAAAAGCTGTACTCATTGTACACTCATCAGTCATCAACTCATCACTCTTGTTAGTGCTTCGTCAATCGTACGGAGTCATAAACTCGCGTCACCGACTCACCGATCACAACAATAAATAATCGTGATGACCATCATTCATCGTCGCTATATAAACATTAAACCCGGGCCGTATACCTTGCTTCAATACAGTATTTGTACGTTTTTAAAAAGAAACTTTAGTAAAAAAATACTTAAAACCATCCAAGTCCATTTGAGTTTTCAGTTTTGACTCGTGAGTCTGCAAATACACCAATGATTACCTATTCCTTATATATGATAGGTCAAATACCTCTCTACCTCTCCAGCTCAGCTCCCGCTTCCTAATCAAATGGCTTGCAGTAGCCCCTGTTCTAGATGAGATCATGAACGAAATCGACTTTTAGGGTAACTACTAGGCCAGTCGTTTGGTCGGGCATTTCACAGCCTTTAACACCTGATATAGAGTTTGTATAACACCACAGAACAAAATAGCACTATAACAAATACAATATGTAGCCATGGATCGTAAATCCGACCGCAGATTATGGCTCACCCTCTATTGCAACAAATGTTGACAAAAACTCCACACCCCACTGTAGTCCCCAGTGGCCCTGTCTACAGAGTACAGACTACTACAGTCCACTCTCCAGTCTAGTCTGTCTCAGTCAGTCTGTGAGTCGTGAGTCCGTGTGGGCGGTGGGTGGGAGCCTTGGCCCGTAGGCCCGTGTGCCCTGAGGTCCTTACGACTGCCAAATCGTCGCAACTACCTAAAATCGATTTCGAGAGCAGTTTTGGGCTGACTAATAATATTCGGCTAATTTTTGGTGCGGACATTAGGTTTCACAATCCGGACTTTTTGAAGCGATGTATTGGCAATAACACCCGATCCCAATGGTGAAAATCTAAAAACTCGACGGGTTTGACCTCCCTTACTCAAGGCCTTTCGATACCAATGTCTAAGTCAAAATTTTATAGGTTATAAATTTTTCATCCTGTATATGCTAAGCCAAAAAAGTACATTTTACTTAGTGTCAACATTCGGGCCGGGCAAAAGTCTATTCTACCTAATATAAACAAATTTTGGAAACTCATTGGTTTTGGCATTAAATAATCAAGATCTGCCAAAAGCAACCACTCATTATAGAAAAAAAAATAGGAAATATTTAGGGGTGATAATCAGGATGAACGACCTGGTTCTCACTGCATCATATTTACAGCTATTTTTTTTTCATACATATTTTTTTTTGTTGATATTTCTTGAAAAATTAAGTTTTTATAAACAACTCCCAAATTAGTAAATATGACTAAGCTTATTTTCATTGGTTTCAACCAGGATCATTTCTCTCTTCGAGTCTTCGACCAATGGTCACCAGCTCATCATTTATAAAATATTTAAATTTATACCAATGAAAACTCACGCCTCGACCAGTCGACACTCGACTGGCCCGTACGCCGGTACGGGATAGAAGTTGAACATAGAGCGCATATTTATTCGACTTTAAAACGTTATAACGGTTATTCTTTTTATAGGACTGGTTTGTATCATGAAAATGGTACTCGTGTAAATGTTTAGACCCGTAAGTTGCACCTATGAGCATATAAAGGATCGCACATAGAATAAAAGTTGAACGTAAACGTATATTTATTACACGATTTTTAAAAGTTTTAGCGGAACACGGTTTGAGGTTAGGCTTCGAGTCTCAATTCGCAAGATGCAAACTCCGCAAACTCGACCCCAGTCTACATACCACCTTCAGGCTATTTACATACCAGCTACCGGTCTAAAGTTTATTAAAAGAAAATAAAAACAAAACAGAGGAGAACCCTTTTTCTTATAAAAAAACCATAAAGAATCAATTATTGAGAACACTAAAAAAGATAAAAACAAAAGCGCAGCAGCGAGCAGCAGGGCAACAAGCCAGCAACTAAATAAAATTTAAAAAAGCAAGTGACGATTGGGTCCGAAAGGTTAATAGAGCGAGTAGACAACTCATTGGATCACGTATGTTGTACTTTATACATCATTGGCAACAACAATGGAGGGTTGCCACGCGTAAGCAACTGATAGACGATTGGCCGTGTGAGAGTGTTGACGAAGATTAACACACAAGTCATGCAGACTTTCAGCCGTCACCGCGTCAGTTATATTCAACATGAGTCAATAATTCATCTGTGAGTGGTTTATATAATAAATTTAGTAATCTTTCCTTATATCTCATGAATCTGAATCTCCTATCCATGGCAAAAAGGTTTCGATGATTATCACAAGATCTTGTCCCTTGATAATGGAGTTTGGCGTATATAACGCGATGTATAATTGTAATATCAAACCTAAAACACATTTGTAATGTACAAGTGCGGCCGATGATGATACCTGAAGTCACGCTGGCATTAATATCCACTCGAGCTGTAGAACTGTTGACTTGAAACCTAACATCCGTAAATCGTTCAGTCCTAAGGCCCAGTAAAATTTGTGGATCATGAACAGTATGAAGAAAATGGTCAATTCGACCAAATCGAGGCTTCTAGAGCTGCTTGGTTTTCGGTACCCATATTAACCTGAAAAGACATATTTTCACTGTCTGCTAAATCTCTGTTAGCGATGGAATCCACAAGCAAAAACGAAGAGAGCAATGGTCACAGTCTCGTTAAATCATCACATATCGTGTTCGGTGATGTTCTCGCTAGTCATTTGATTTACTCAAGAAATATTTAGAGACTTCCTGGAGGAATGCTCGGCTATGCTGTCTCGGATATTGAGCGACAATATGATACGTTTCCCCCGAAAAATTTTACCATGCTTCGAGTACATGACGTTGATACGAGTCGAACCTTGTTGAGAAGGCAGAGCCCTTTTAGATGGATTACGCACATCGGGTGACTTGCGGACACCGCACTTTGAATATCGACGCGTAGACGAATACTGCAAGCGTACCCCATTGCTGAGCTTATCACCAATGATCGCAATAATTTGGAATGAAAATGATATAGCTAAAAGAGCAACAATATTTAGAATATCCGTTGCCAGCTTGAAATTTGCCTGACAACCACAAGAGGGTATTTATTTTTAAAGCAGTGTCAGAGTACTGCCAAGTGCCAGCTGCCAAGTGCGGACTGTTGAGTGCAGTGCCAGACTCGTTGCTATTTTGACTTTTGCACTTTGTACTCGCCACAGGTGCCAGTCGCCACTCGCCACTCGCGACTCGCCACGTTATCCACGAATAGCAGTGTTTTAGGCGGTTGGCAGTGGCACTCGCGTGAAAGAGTTCACAAAACGAAAGGAGAAAGAGTATTTTGTATTTCACCAATTGTTTTTGAAAAAACTAAAAAAGTACAATCGCAAAAACTAAAATAAAAGTCGATTCGGATCACGGATGTATTTAGTATTTACGCGGTACACGGCTATGTACACCGGTACAGAATACGATTTTTAGAAGGCTAATAAAAAAAATTAGAGAATTCACATATAACCCTCTAACTAGAGATTAAAAATATATCAACAACGGCATGACCCTCTACTAGAGATAAGAAAGAAAATATGGCTGAACCATAGCCTTCTAAATTGAAACACAGACTAACGTCCGAAGGACATTGACTTGCTCTCACATTGACTCAGTCTCACACTTCTCTGAAGCTCTCAATCACTCACCGGGAGTCGCTGGAGAGTGGAGATAGTTATAATGGAGACTGGAGAGTGGACTGTAGTAGTCTGTACTCTGTAGACAGGGCCACTGGGGACTACAGTGGGGTGTGGAGTTTTTGTCAACATTTGTTGCAATAGAGGGTGAGCCATAATCTGCGGTCGGATTTACGATCCATGGCTACATATTGTATTTGTTATAGTGCTATTTTGTTCTGTGGTGTTATACAAACTCTATATCAGGTGTTAAAGGCTGTGAAATGCCCGACCAAACGACTGGCCTAGTAGTTACCCTAAAAGTCGATTTCGTTCATGATCTCATCTAGAACAGGGGCTACTGCAAGCCATTTGATTAGGAAGCGGGAGCTGAGCTGGAGAGGTATTTGACCTATCACATATTAGGAATAGGTAATCATTGGTGAATAACGAACGTCCACCGAGATGCAGAGGGGGTAGTGCACGAGATGGGAAAATAGCCAGAAGAAGAGCATTAGAGAGATTCTTAGGGAGAGCTCAAGTATGAAAATCAACAGCTCCGAAAGCTCTGCTGAGAATGTAGTCATCTGGAATTCAGATGATGTCACACGCATAGACTTTGGGTGTAGAGATAGGTGTTTGAAATGGATGAGTATTGGGGTGTGGGACAAGCACTAGTGTGATGTGTAGGTGTGTGATAATAGGTAGGATAAAGAGAGGAAACGCGATGCTAAGCTTTAGAGTGATGATGAGTGGGAGAGGATGGGATGTGATGTAGTTGGTGCATAGTATTGTAGATGGGAATATATGAGTGCCAACGTTCAGCAATTATCTAGTATTAAATTTAAAAGTGCGTTGTTGGAGGAGATAATAGGACTGGTGAGGCGGAGGAGGGGATGGTGAATGCATTGTGAGTGCGAGAGGTAAATTGCTGTGTGTGGGTGGGTGCGTGGGGCAAGGGAGACATGAGAAATTCGGTAGTGAACCAGGAGGTTTGGAAGTGCCAGAGCAATTTGGCGATGATTGCGGTAGGATCAACCCTTTTGAAGATTCCATCTTCATATGTTATGTCGAAGCTAAGATTTCTGCCCAGGAACTCAACTTTGTGAACGCATACAGCCAAATGCCAGTTAGCAGCAGGAGATCGATTTTTGTTCGCTGTATGATATTGAGCTTCTTTTTCGACCATAGTCAAGTATGTCTGATACGTTTTGGTGTCATACTCCTGAGAAAAAAACCGGTTGCCATATTCCATGGGATAATTACCTTGAGAAACTATGAAATATTTATAATCGTCAATATAATTTCCCATTGCTATGTTGCGAGTTTTGAGAATCCGAATTGAATTTCTGTGACTATTCAACGTGTGTTTTCTAAAATTAAGAAGCAACTGAAAATACCTTAAATAGGGTGCGGCGGTCACTTGTACTTCTCTCTAGATAAACACGGAACTAGGGATTGTCAAGTATTTCTGCTGTCGCCATGAGTGTGGAATTGCTTTTGATTACGCTTGAAATAGCTGCGCGATGAATAAGGATTTGATGCAAATTTGTTGCTGATCTTATATGCTCACATCTAATGGCAGTGACGTTGATAGTATACGCGAGTCGATCGATCCCCAGTATACAGACAGCAACGCAGGTGAATCTTCTATTGATGAACGACAAACAATCCTTTATCTAAGACAAGGGTCTTAAATACACAATATTATGCATTCTGAATTCAACCTAAGAGCTAAGAAACACCATTTACCCCTGTCAATCGATTGGTCTTTCCACGAAAACCTAAATATATACTGTTGTGTAACCCAAATCTCTCTCACATGCGGTGTTCGAAGAAGTAACTGAATACTGACAGATCCGATCTCACTACAATAGCTCCAGTTCCTCCAGAGGCGTGCGAACTCTCAGTTCCTTTTCCTGCATCAAGTCCACAGCGATACGCCAAGCCTCCGCATTATCGCTGAAGTTCGATACGGCTGTGAATGTAGTTCAAAAATTTAAGGCTCAGAATAGAAAGGGGGTCATGGTTGCAGAGCAGAACCAGGACAAATTAGGACATAGTGGCATGTGATACACGCATGGAGAATGACACAGACAACATTCCTGCAATAAATTGGAGGTCCTAAACTAGTAGTCAATTGCTAAACATCTCATCGCTGACTGAAAACAAATCATTAGGGGGCATCTAGTATCCAAATCAAGCAGCCAGCAACTATACTGCGTAGTTGAAATCAAGTCAATGGTGCAAAATCTACAGTTTGAGGTATGATTCGAGAGTTCTGTATATGCTCAACACTGTATTACGATTTGACCAACGGGGGACACGGATGCAGCGTGCAACACGACTGAGGGACTAGCAATCGCAATCACGATATACACTCTTCTAAATTCTTCTAACGTCCAGTGCCCAAGACATTCAGCTGTGAGAAAGTACGATCGATACAGACGTGAAGGATGGAACTCATAGCCAACATACCATGTATATATAGCGACTTCGTTCCCGGACAGGCCTCTAACGCTCTGTAGAACACCTCCTCAACGGTCTTATTGTTCGCAGCAATGGCCTTCTGCTCAGCATTCTCGGTAGAACAACTTCTGCAAGCACGATTGTCAAGTAAACCATTTCTGGCCTGTGCTCGGTTACTTGTAACTAGTTGTTCGTGCTCACGTATTCCTGACGTGCGTGTTTCACCTGTTGGACGCTCGTGGGATTGCTTCGGTGAAGCGTCTACGTCCGCAGTGGCGTTTTCCCCATCGGTCGCAGTGATTGTGTGCTTGTTTCTCTTCTCTGGGTCGACACCCTCCTTCTCTCCCTTGGCAACTCCCATACCCGAGCTTAACGATAGGAAATATGTTGGCGTGTCCAAGCGTTTCTTCAGCGCTATCCGTAAGTATACGTGCCATATAACAGGTGCAGAAATGGCGTATTCGTTCGCGACAGCTCTGCAGTGACAAGGTACAAGCAACAAGTTCGAAAGATACGTGCTTAATGACGACTAGATGGCATCAGACATTCCGTTGGCTCAGGTGAGGGGTAGACGGTTTGTCGCATTCATGACACTTCGAAGTTTTTATGTAGTGTTCGGTATGAGCAAGCACAGCACCAACAAGCAACCTATTGAGTAGTTTAACGTCAAATTACAAAGTGAAGTGTCTGTCTAGGAATGCTTGGGTTGATATGCTAGATCACAGGCGAGGAATAACAAGAGTGTCCCCTCGCAAAGTGCCTACAGTATTCGGTACGTGCAAACCTCAATTAAAATCCTACACAAGACATTTATACAGCGTAGCTGTACAGCTCCCGACACTACTCTTATTAGGGAAGATATGTGTGACACATATGTCAACATCGGCACTCACATGTTAGCTTGTCAGGGTACACAATCACTTTACCCGACAAGCTCACCGCAAACAAGACCCAATGTCAAAATGTCAGCTCACAATGCTCACCTTTCTAACAGCGAAATCACACGACTGTGCACCGGATTGCGCATCACCATTTCAGCCTGGAGTGCAAACAACCAAGTGGTGATAGGCAGATCCACCGTGAAATACAGACACAACAGATTGTCCATGAACTGCCGTCGCCGGGTCATTAAGCCTTGTCTGTGCAACGAACGGTGTAAGAGATACATAAATGGGGTGCGTGCACTAAAAGGTCAGTATCGAAAGGTCAGTATCGAACTGCAAGAGAAAGAGATACAACAATTACATATGCATTCATCATGGGTTGGATTGATGCATTATTTGTACGTGACTGTTTCCCAGAAGAGTTTCCTGGCCGCTAAATGCGATAGACGCGTGTGCTCAGCAGTCTGCCCCTATCGCTGTGTCTGTCTTTAACGTGGTCATATATCTGGATAAAAAATTATAGTGGCATCCACGAGTTGCTCAAACGCGCATTGTAGAAAGTGGGTTCTACGCCTATGAAGTAATAGTGGGATACAGGCATGTGTCAGCTGAATCATAAGACTGACACGAGCGTGATCCGTCAGATTTGCATCCGTTCTGCCGGGGCATTGTGGACTACTGCATCTGAACACTACGCACTACAGAGGCTCTTAGCTCCTCAAGCAAATGTCCGTGAAATGACGTACTGTGGGTTCAAAGTGTAAATACCACGCACAAGGTTTACGGGCACCACACTACCACCGTATGTCATTTAGGCATCGTATTTATCTTTGAGAGAATCGGGATGTGTGAGCTACAAACTGTACAGAACAGGAAGACACCCCAAATTAGCGTGAGTAGACAACTCCAATCGTATAGGACATGGACTGACATTTTGAATCAAAAGAGTACAAAATGAGTCATTGATCGATGTCAATAAAATTTTTAAGCAATTTGCAGTGATCGCATTTAGTTAATTTCATATAGTGCTCCGTGACATAGTATAGGGAAGCCTGTATCTGCCTAGCAGCATTTGCCATAATTGACCAATGGAATGGCACAGTTGTGCCCGATGTGATGTTGTACTTTCAACAGATATATATATCGTCCTTGCGAATTAAATGTTGCAATTGCACACAGCCACAAAGTATATGCTCCCTACATAAATAACTTTTATCCTGTTCTTTTTAGATATAGTTTAGGAACAACAACGGTTGAAAACAACTGGCCGTGGTCTCCAAAGCAGCAATACAATACACCTCAGAACACACGACTGAGACTATACATGAGATAGAAATCACCGTGTCACCTACCTAGCTTCAGCCAAGATGTACTGAGACAGAAAGTATGTATTTCCCGGGAAGAGAAGGAGAGCGGTCTCCAGTACCTGCCTAGATTTATTCAGAGGGCTGGCGTGCGCCTGCGCGTGTCGCACCATCATCTCCACATAGCCTGTCAGTAACGTCTCTGCAGGAATGAACGGATTTAATAGGAACTCGCGATTGGCATTGATTATAAGGTGGGGCCTGACAAGCATATCGATGGTATATCGATGATAGAAGACAGACGAGTGTACAAAAGTCCGCGGATGGTTGATGTGAACGGTAGAGCAGCGAGCGAGCCTAAAGTCTAATACAAACTGAAGCATCTTTAAGACGTCTCATACCATACAGGGCAGACGTACACACTACAACATACCTACTACAGCACTGGATGGCTCTACAAATGTCCATTCATGCTCGTCCGCACCAGTGCCATTTACATCCACAGGCATGTTCTTGGGTCGCTTCAAAGCCCCCAGCGTCTGGCTCTTGGCCATCGCCTGATTGTACACACCTTTTCCCAACATCCATTGTAGCGCCTCCGTGTACACACTCTGCGCTGCATCCAGCGACGGCAGTCTGCGCATAGCCGCCTCTCCACCAGACACACCTGGTATTGGTTGGCTGCGCACCGGTGTGTGGTCGCCGGGCGTGTACATTGGACTGAGGTACTCGAAGAGTGCATAACAGTCAATGAAATGCACCATTGCACTACCTCCTACGGGGTGGTGTACTGGTGGTACGGCGTCCTCGGTCTCCGTGGCTGGCGTACGAGCCGTTGTGCTTGCCCATCGGAGCGCCTTGTCTGGGCTGAGGAAGACCAATTGACTATATATGTTTGCATACGTGCGCTTTGCTACCATCAACTCTGTGAAGGTAGATCGGGTTGAATAATATCAGCAGACTGGTTTTAATTGGCCTGGCAGGTGTGTAAATATACCCCGGAATACCACACCGTTTTGCGAGAACCACACTTTTAAGCGGCTGATGGCCTTCTCAAGTATTTGCACGCAAAATGAAATGCAAAATATGCCACTCTCGCGCAATGAGAATATGCTCTCACCAGCTGCAGGGTTCATAGGGGTCGCACGTACATGCTACATTGTACGATTTTTATTGGCTAAATTCTGAACTTTTAATATGTCGTAAACTGTACTGCTGAACTACACTGGCCGAGAGGCACAGAAAACGCGCTGACATGCAAATGGTGGTAGAATGAATAATAGCAAGTGACAGTACGATGGATACTAACAAGTGGCGGTAAGATGGGTTTTTACAAGTTACCTGTGGTAGACAGCATGGGTAACGCCCCTTTCTTAATGGGCTTTTCATTAGCGTTGGGCTGTTTTACGAAAGCCACCAACGCGTGGAGCACGCTGTACGACGTTGGACGCGGAAAGAAAGGACCGATCAGAAGGGAGTGTATAATAATGAAACGAAACAGTGTATAGCAATTTGAAGGAGGCTCAAATTGAGACATGGCAATGGAAGGGTCTGACCAATATAGCAATTATTAGTGTGGCTGAATTAGTTCACAGTAGATATATATTTCTGAACAAAATTGATTACGAAAATAGTGGAAATGCAAACCTACAGATAAATACCTAGAGAAGGATTGTTGCAGATAGATACACCAAAACTACCCTGAGGGTTTAGGCTAATGGCTTGTATGCGTGTACTAAGGGGAGTGCAAAATAACATTGTATCCATGTAGAATGAAGACCTACACAGATACCACAATTGTGGAGAGCGCGTGAGACTACACATAGCTCGGCACCGATGACGGATTAGCCATGTAAAGAAGCCATACTTTTGCGGCACAACTCGTGTCGACACTAATACTTTCCATTTTAGAGTACTGATACATAACGAAACTCAATGTAACGTACCTGTAGAACTCCCCCTGAACAAGCCCCAATTGTGTCATGCCTTTCAGTATAAGCCACATATCCCAGGAGGGAAGGGTGGCACCAATGGGATGCGAGTGCTGCCCAGGGTTTATGACGCTCTCCGCTGACTGTTGAATATCTGCTTGACGTCGCATTGAAAGGATACGAGCGTACGCCTGATAATGAGTATGAAGGAAGAAGGCAGTACTGAACAACATGCGAGATATACATTTTGCGCCATGATTTTCTGAGAACTCGTCGCGCAGCACTGTCAGAAGGTGGCTAGCTCAACGGAGATTGTTTGCTGCTACTATGTTGTCATTCCTGAAAGTTCAGGTCTTACGGTGACAGGTAAAGCACACGAGTCTGACAGTTGAGGTTAATGTACAGTAAATGAATGTGAAAATTGCGGCAATCGATTATGATATGCTTGTGTTCGATGTGACGTGCAGTGTGGCATGTGATAAAGTAGAGCTCACCCGAATGAGTCTATGGCTGTTAGAAACAGAGAAAGAGCTGATGTCGTATTCCGAATGTCGTACACCTCGTGAGAGTATTGCGGTGCACAACATCGATCGCTATACACGTACGTAAGCGTGTGCTATACTCATGGCAAACTGGCAACCATAATCTCGCAAGCAATTGCGAAGCGAATTACTAACCTCTAGAGGTAACATCCAATGTACACATGAAGTCGACGGATAAACTACACTGCAGCCGATGGCGATGAAATACTTCGAATATCTGAAGCTCAATATAATATCCACCACCAAACTAAGGGAACAGCAAACTACTCCCAAACCCAGGAAATACGGAACTGCGAGTTTTCGGACACACAAGAGACATACACAGATCGCTATTGCATCTAAACGACCAAGCAATTACTCCCCTGCACATCCTAGTTGTAAGTACAATGACGCTCACAAGAACCACCATGATGGACGTCGTACGTGAGATTCGGATGCATGAATTGGACCAAATCTCTTTAAAATTCGGATATCGTGCATCCGTATTCAATGCAGACAAAGGGTGTTTCGAGGCAGTATTCTCACCTTTCGGGCCGCTTTGCGGTTACCCAGTTGGAGCTCTAATTGGCAGTACGTATACCATAGCCGATAATTTTCCCCGTATCGAGCACACGATAAAAGAGTCTTGCACTTTTCAATTCCATCTTCAATCGCTAATGCTCCGTCGCTGTGAGTGAATAGAAGGAATCACAATAGGCATTTGTGACACAATGCGATATTCACGTGCCGTGTGTTAGGTATGTCCTTACGTAACGAACGCCACGCTATTGTAGCATCAATGAGTAACAAGCATTCATGAAAAAGTCATGGAATGCGAGCGCAAAGAGACTAGCGTAGAGATTTATCGATATTTTCTATCGTTGTAGTGTTTGAACTAGATATCGTGCTTATAATGTAATATACTACTACGCTTCCACCCATTTACATTCAAACCATATCTCCAGACTAAGTGACCGACTGTAGATTCAATAGGCACATTCAGGGTTCACCACATATGAGCATATGTTATAAGCACGGAAACAGCATTTTGTTCTATAAGCCCACCCCTTGTGATATCAATTAAGCGTACATAAGTTCTCTCAAACATACATACAATGCCCAAGGACACACTCTCAAACGATACAAAGCGCTCGCACTCTACACAAGCACGCACTAACACATACGGTCCATGCACAACCCAAGCCACACTCCCCAGCAGCAGCTCTTCGTCGTCAGGAAAGAGCATGAGCGCCTGTTCAATGACACGTCCACAAAACTTGTAGAGTCGCTCTATGCAAGGATCTGACGTCCCCAAAGTCGAGCGGTAGCGCAAAATGTCCCTATACCCAGGCAACGGTGTGTAAAACTGTCCCTGGCCACCGATTGCTCTCTCTAACCCAACACGATCGCAGCATCTTGGCCGAATTCTGTTCACCTCTGTATCCAAGCGCATTGTATGCATTAGCGTCGGATGCGCAACTGCTTGTGACGTCTTGAAATAGTCCTCGCTAGCATACCAGGGCTCGCGACCCGGCACACCAACAGACGCTACCCCAACCCGATCGCCAGGGGTGCGAGAATCCAACTCTATTTCATTTCCTCCCATCGATACCGAAGACACATCTGTATCGCCCGGATGCGAGTGTCCGTGTGTGGGTGTATGATACTCCTGTGCTGTCTTACTGTACTCGTTCACATGCTCTGTCTCCAGATAATCTTGGGTAGCATCGGTGGCACGGTGTAGCGCCGCCACATCTACGGCCAGAGGGGACAACAGTGACGATACATCGCACCACTGACGCACACAGTCGTATTGCGTCCACGAACTGGCGTCCGAATCGGGCATGGGTGTGCCCATGGAACGGAGCGCATTCTTTATCATGGAAAGCTGTATGTTAGTACGTAAGTGATAGTATTTTCAATTGAAGACCTTGCTCTGTTATTCGTTATCATAGAATATGAGTTTTCTTGGCTTGGCAGACGAGGCTATATACTCCCATCGGAGCTATACTTCACTGTTGCTCGGGAACAAACTACGCGACAATGGAAAGGATGGGCGACGGTGAGTGTAAGTATGAGACATTTCATTCCAGCACTGACTGGGAATACTTTTCGAAACCGTAGACAGTGCACAACAACCATCCGAACACATATTTGTATTTGTACACATAAATATACACATCTATATATTCGAATGCGAATATATACTTCATATAAAAATATAAATATAAATACAAATACAAATACAAATACAGATATTTATATATATATATATATGTGTATATATGTATATATATATATATATATACATATATATATATAAACACACACATACATACATATATATTGGTTACCAGAAAAGCAGGATGCCACACACTCCACGTACCACATCTGCCTTGCATCGAATATCCACCAAAGACTCCACGACGTCTTCGCCCAGCACCATCCGATCTGCATCCTCTACACTATCGGTCTCCTCGGTGTTCATCCTTGCGCACGCACCGTTGCCAGGGCTTCTTAAAAGAAGGACCGGACTGATGCCAAAGTCTTCACACACACTGGCCCCGCTCTCGCCGCAGCCCAGATGCCAGGGCAAGGCCTCGCCTATCCCTCTATATAGCTCCATCCATAGCCATTGTTCCCTTTCGCTGGCTCGCGCACGTTTCAAATGATCTAAAGTGTCTCCCGTCCCGCGGGTACTTATACTGCCTTCCAAATCCCTACTACTCAACTCACCAGATGTGTATTCATTTGCCTTGCCGCTTGCCTCAACGCCCTCTCGTATAGGGTAAGGGCGTGTATCCCCAACAGCATGTGCTCGCCATCCCTTCGTATGCCTCTCGCCAAATCTCGGCACTTCCGAATCCCAGAACGGCTCAAAAAACTCTCTTGAACGCACATGTACACCCGAATGCGCGTCAGACGGTTGGCCAAATGTGTTGTACTCAACAACTGCTTGTAACCATCCAATAGCCAATTCAGTATGGCCCGCATCCCATATGACTCGAAAGTATTGACTCATGAGTCTAACCAAATCCGGGTCGGAAAGCAGCTCCCCCGAGGACGTGCTTGCGCGCAGTGTACGTGCTTGTACAGCGCCCTGAGAGTGTAATGCTGAATTCCTTTCGTTATAGCTTGTCAGTGTACGTAGGCAGCGATCGAAGGTAGAAGTGATCTGTTTAGATTTCACGGAAAAAAATCATAATAAGAGAAGCTATCATCGCGACAGTATGTCATATATTTGGACCAAACAAGAGCGGCATGAGCTTGGCCTGATGGTCCAATATATCTGTGCATGCATGGTGCTCGGTGATCTACTTAGGTGAATACTAGATCACGTGGGAACACACAAACAACGTGGAATATTAACTATACATAGGCAGGCTAAAACCAAACAGACACGTACGAAAGTTTTAACATGTAGTAACGTGTGCGACACAGTCGACTGTGGCCAACAATCACGAAGTGTATGGCAAGCCTTACACACACCTGCCGGAATTTATACGAAGCGAAATGTGTGGTTCGCATTAGTAAATAGCCATTCCAAAGAGCTGGCGATGCGGAGAACATAGCCATAGCTTCGCGCCATAACTTTGCTAGTTCAGATGTCTCGGCCAATTCGCTGGAAAGCCTCAAGTAGTGCAAACGGAGCACCTCATTGGATTGATTTGCGTACACAGCCTTCTCCAGTATAGCTAACTGCTTTTCTCGCACGATTTTCCTCAGTACCTTTGTGTGTTTCCCTTGTAGAGCCTACGAAGTACAGTCCATGATTATGTGGTTGAGTACGTGATAAGAATCGTAAAGAGAGACTTGCGACCATATACTCGAACATAAACATACACATCCATGTTCATTGATAAAGATGATGTATACATCTATTTCTTCGGTTGGAAAACCGATGTTGTAAATGTGTCTAGTTGGAGTTGCAGATAAGGGCACATCGATTATCATTTCGAATATGTCTTTGGAACCCAATTGTAAAGTGCGCGCCAAATCGTGATACTGGCATATCCGTGTCTGATAAGGAAACGTGAGCGAGCTAAAAGCACTTTCACAGTGATAACAGAGTCGTTTCTCCAGTAGCGTACAGAGATTAGTCCTCTGAAAGCACACGTACACGTATACATAGATAAATTCGTAAGCATATACACACATTCATGAATTCGTTTGACAAGGCAGAGCCTTGGGTACGCGTTACACTACTATACATCTTTGCAGTAAATTCACTATTCCATTCTTGCGAACATCGTTGATTACCGTAAGACGAATACAGTGTACGTACTCATGTTCATCTATAAAAGGTGAACGTATAATTTGTTCACGGGTTGGAATAACCGCCACGCGGCAACGTCCAAACACACTAGACAGATGAAAATACATGTCCGTACTGTACCAAGAATATGACCAGTTTACGCTAGGTCTACTTAGACAGCGATAGTACATAAGCCTACACAGCACTCATTGGCCACCTCAAATAACGCACCTCGGCTTGCAAGGCTACCAACGACAGCCAGGTTGAGGTATTACTGGGATTCTCGCGGAGCAATCGGCCGTATAGAAGGCGACGAGCGTCGCGTGTGTTGCTGCCTACGTGTTCGTCCTCGAGCGTATCTCCCTCGATTTTTTTTATCATTTACACCTGCCGATAAAAGTAATGCGAGAGACTTTCAACCGATGAAATAAAGTCTTGAAGCATGTGCTGATTTTGCCACTTCATTTGAATCGTTGTCGACTCTCATGAGGGATTATACTTTGGAGACTGGGACCTGAAGCATCGCAGTATGTCTCCTTGGTACATGAATGACATTCGACAGCATCCTTAACTATATTAATACTGCTAAGCGACACTTGCGGAGCGTCGCATAAGGAAATACATTTGTTTTGCCTCTCAGATGTTTCACAATACATAAGTACACACCTGTAGCTGACGTAGTGCTGCTTAGTGGCAGGAACTCGGCAGCTTCGTGTGGTGATTTTCTCAACTCTTTGTTGTCCTCTACTGTAGTGAATTGATCAATCGGCAAAATTAAACGGAGGATGTGAGTTCAGAATTTGCAAAATGCATTGCACAACTAAGGTGGCTTATGGAGACTATTTAGGTAAGTAAACCAGGTACACCTGGCAGCAATCGAAGAGTGTTGTGATGTATCTCACAATTACAACAAGTATACAGACTAACCTGGAGTGAGGTGGAATATAAAACTGGACTCAGACAAAAGTGAAGAGAACTGACAATGCACTAGTGTACAAATAGTATGCACGTGCCATTATATTATCAGACGGACGGGGTTGTGGTGATAAAGAGTTTCATGGTGAAACGCTGCTTAGTTATGGTGTCTGAACTTTTAAAAAACGCCCATACAACGTCTATTTCTCACATTCCTCTCAAAACTACACCATGCACAACATGCCTGATATTCGTGGAGGTGCAAGAGGTATATCTGTAGGAACTGCCGAGCTCCCAACCCTATCATCGAAATACCTAGCAGTTTTCTTTCTCTCGCGCTCTCTAGCTAAGAAGAAGCCACTGGTACCAAGACTATCTGTGCCGATAACCGTAGCCTCCCGCTGTCTATGACGAAGTACATAAAGGTTGGGCGAGGTGTTATTTATATATAGGAGCTGTACTGCTGTTTAGCTAGGGTAGATGTCATTTAGGCGCAGACCATACGAGTACGAGATACAAGTGCCCATGCAAGTCAAATTGCCGCGGTCACTCCTATTGTAACCCGCGTGACGTGAAAAGAAATAGAAACGTAGCAATAAAAGGCCCATAAATACCTGGACACACACGCCAGAGCTGATGCTGCGTTGTCCGGGACTTAATAGTGCGCCTATGATGCTAGATCATTGCGTTCAAAACATCCCACTATCACTAGAAACGCGCCAGTGAAAAGTGCAAACAAATTCCAGTTGAAGACCTCCACTACTACTGCGTACACACCTGTGGAACTTCGGGACATCCTTCAGATAGGGTGTACCGTATGTCAGATTATCTTTATCATGCCTTTTGTCCGTCTTGAACCCTGCGAAATAGCCACCATTCCCTGTCGAACCTAGCCTACCTTCAACCAAGTTTTCTCTCCGATTTAAATCGTCAATATGCATCCCACTTTTAAGCTTGTGTTTATCTTTGTCCCCTTCATCAGTCCTTGGGATATGTGTCGACTTTCGTTTATGCGATTTGTGGGATGAGTCGGAGCTTGACCCTGTTTTGAACGCTTGCGGTGAATAAGTCCTACTCGTACTTCGCCTATAACCGCGACTATACGTACTTTCGTATCTCCCACTGGTCCCCCTCCTCTCGCTCGACTTACAGTCCCTAGTACGTACTTTCTTATGCGTGGCATTTCCATCATTTCCATCACTAGACCTACTGGGCTTACAGTCACTGTGTGAATTTACCCCGCGTTGCCGGTCTTTACTTCTACCCTCACGACTGCGATCCACAGAGTCTCTTCTCTTATCCGTTTTATATTCTTCATCGCGTAGTTGTGACCTACGTATGTTCCCTCTTTCCTCATGCCAATCTCTGGTATATCTCTCCTTACCCTGATCTTGTCGCGTCCGTTTGCGCGATCTTTCTGCCGTGTGACCTTCCTGAGCGTCGCTGTTGCTGTCACTTTCACTATATTTATGTTTACGCCGCTTCCCTCCACTACTGTTTCTTTCGCGAGCACTCTTACTCGTACTGCTGCGCTCTTTCTCCGCCTTAGGTTTATTTTTTTTCTCGTTTGTTCGACCACGCTCTTTGTGTTTATGTCTGTGTTTTTTAGTGTGTCTCCCGTTGACATTTTCTAGGCTATCCTGTGTAGTTATCCCAAATTCGTTACCTATCTGTCTGTCTCCTCCATCATGTACTGCATCTACTACAGTTCCCATGAATGAACCGAATCCACTCACTCCCGCACCAGAGCCAACTATGTCACTTGAATCAGCAGCCGAGTTGCGTGTAACATCGTCAGCTGTTGTTGCAGCTACGTTGCCAAATGCGTACATTGGCGCTGTACTATGAAGATTCATACTAGCATTCGAATCTCTACGGGACGGGCATGCGGGGTATGGGCTTCTAGACTGAGCCGGAGACGGATGGAAGTAAGCCGCACACTCCGGCTACTGCGGTGAATGAATTCATATTTATGTACGCAAACCAGAGAGGATATGCAGGAGGAGATAAATATGACATCACAACTTTGTCCATCCAAACCCTACCCCGCACCCCCCCCCCCCCCACCTCATCCCCAGGGTCGCCCCCCCCTAAATTATTTTTTTACTCGATTGTCGCAGGCTGGTCGCAGGCACTCAGTGGCCAGCAAGCTAATATATCATACCTGCACAACTAGTAGCAAGCTCCAGATACATAATAAAGCATATCGAAATATAGTTGACGGTAGCCCTGAGCCAGAATTGGTGTTGCAAAATGATTCGCACAATGAAAGCCTCGCTTCTTTTAGTTCTCTATCTGGTATGACACGATTGTTTGCATAAAGACCTCACAGAATTTATGTTCTGGGTTTGTAATTCAAGTTCAACATATGCACACACACAGCGATATATTGTTTTGCTATCATGATATGCGAACTGCTAATTCTATTTGATATTTACTAGGTATTGTCTCGCTGATCCCGATGTTTGAGCTAATTTTCATTTCTATCAGGCTACCTTACGGGTCGTTGAGAGGTCCGTTTGATTGCATTGATATGGCTTTAAA